CTTGCAGAATCAGTGGCAAGGTCGAATGGATACAACACAAAAGCTTATCACCCTTACAGGTTCCGAGTCCATCGTACACCGCCTAGATTGGAAGCTGAAGATCAGATCCCATTTTGTCTACCATATATCTCAGAAGAGTTTAGTAGGGCTGTTCGCAGATTACTTCATCAAGCAGGCCTCAACGATATTGTAAGGATCGTCGACATTCCGCCTGCAAACCTTAAACAGCAGCTAGTACGAAACCGGGAGTACGATCGTCTCTGTACAACGTCTAATTGTGTGATTTGTCCATTCGGCAAGGAAGGAGACTGTATGATATCAGGTGTTGTCTACCTTATCACGTGTACATCATGTGATTCACGTATATTGGCGAGACGGGTCGCCCCCTATGCACGCGCATCAAAGAACACTTAGATGGTCTCAGCAAGGGCAACGCAGCTACTCCGTTAGGCATGCATCGCAGGCTCAGCCATGACGGCGCGGAGGTGGGAGTGCAGGTTCGAATCCTGGCGCGTGAACCCGAGATCTTAGCGCGCAAGACACTCGAAGCGTTTTGGATAGCCGCCCAAAATCCAAAAATCAACCGGAAGGACGAGTGCCTAGCCATTACTAACGAGCTGTCTCCTTATCAGAGCCTCTGTGGTTTTTGAATAATGAGGTCAGGTCAGAACCGGGTCACTAGTTAACTATAAAAGTAAGGCGGTACAGCTTTTGACATAAGTGGTCTGCACCCACCAAATTTTCATCTGTTAAGGTGAGCACTGGCTTAATCTTGGTTTTGGTTAAAGCTGTTGTTTTTCTTAGAGGGTTGGGCTCCTTTCTGTAGTCGACGAGGTGTTTGATCGGATAGTTTACTCATGTGTCTTCGACTTTTCAGACTCTGAAGAAGGCGAGTTCGCCGAAACGTTAGTCTGTTATTCTGTGCGATAAAGTTCTGTACCAATCTTGGACTTCGCTCAAGCAACTGCCAAGAAGGTGTTAGAAGGGCTGGTGAATTCTGGAAAAATCATGTCGTTTTAAATTTTTCTCAACGTAACTCTAATTGAAGCTCTCTTGCTAAGCAGACGTGATTTTCGTAATCAGCAGGTCGGATAACCCTTATAAGCAAGTTTTCCAAGATGTTCGAGTAATTTCATTTTTTCTCGTTTTACGCTCTGAAGCTGGCCGATGGATTTTGGTCAAAATGTTCATGCTGTTAAATTGTAAGGAAACTTCGCTTATAGAGGATTTGGAACACGCTATTTACGAAAATCGTGGTCTTTGAGGATTACAGGGTCTTGGAGAGATACGGTGAGGTGACTGTAACTGCATCACGAAAGCTTGTAACTTCGCCTCCACCTCTCACGTGTCTGTCAAAGAACCTGCCTGCTTGCTTTATTAGTCAAAGCTACTAGGAGATGTGCTATCGAATGGCGCAAGACTCAGGCTCCAGTCTATAAAATTCGCCGAGTTACGAGCCTATAAAAACACGTTCTCATGAATTTTGCTCAAAATGTAAAGATCGCAAATTTCGTCGAAATTCCACCATGAGTGCTTGTACAACACGATGATCAAATCTTTTCACATTCTTAATGGATCTTATTGTGAGATTTGGTGATTTGAGCTCTAGCCACAAAACAGCTTTAATATCAATTGCTGAAGCACACGCAAGCACCATATTCAATACAGTGGAGTTATTGGGCGAAGCGAAATAATATCCGCAATGCGAGTGTCATACAAGCACGTGGAATTTCGATAAAATCTGCAATCTTTACATTTTGAGCAAAATTCATGAGAACGTGTTTTCATAGGGCTCGTAACTCGGCGAATTTTATAGACTGGAGCCTGAGTCTTGCGCCATTCGATAGCACATCTCCTAGTAGCTTTGACTAATAAAGCAAGCAGGCAGGTTCTTTGACAGACACGTGAGAGGTGGAGGCGAAGTTACAAGCTTTCGTGATGCAGTTACAGTCACCTCACCGTATCTCTCCAAGAAGACCCTGTAATAATCAAAGACCACGATTTTCGTAAATAGCGTGTTCCAAATCCTCTATAAGCGAAGTTTCCTTACAATTTAACAGCATGAACATTTTGACCAAAATCCATCGGCCAGCTTCAGAGCGTAAAACGAGAAAAAATGAAATTACTCGAACATCTTGGAAAACTTGCTTATAAGGGTTATCCGACCTGCTGATTACGAAAATCACATCTGCTTAGCAAGAGAGCTTCATATTTTAGAGTTACGTTGAGAAAAATTTAGAACGACATGATTTTTCCAGAATTCACCAGCCCTTCTAACACCTATGGAAAGATGCCTGTGACCACTTTTTAGCGCTACGTAATCTACAGAAAAAGTACTATCGAAAGTCCTTGCTGGAGTCTACTAGGGACAATGCGCGCTGCTTTACACCTTCACGAAAAGACGTCTACAGAAAGATTTGAGAATATTGAAATCGGAATATCAAGGATATGCTGTATATTGAAAGACTTGCCTTGATGAACTGAGCACAAAGCTTTCTTCGGATTCAGAATAGTTCATTCCGAAGGAAGTTACGGCGAGTAGAATTTAGAAACGCGTGATTTTTCCAAAATTCACCAACGCTTCTATCTCTTTTGGGAGACAGTCTGCAGCTACTCTTGAACGCACGATAACCTACAAGGACAGTACTATCGAACAGTGCTTACTGGAATCTTTTATGTTACACGGACGCTGCGTTACATCCTTGCGAAAAGACCTCCACAGTTCGAAAAAACTGGAAATGGAATATCGAGAGCATACTGTATATCAAAATATTCGCCTCAACGATCTGAACACAATGCTGCTTCTGGTTTCGGAATATATTCATTGCGAAGGAAGTTATGGCGTTGCGTACTCTGCGTGATTCGCATGGTTTCGCGGATCCTGAAGTGTCGCGAACTTCCTGGATTATCGCGCACTTTGGCGGAAATCCCGGAAGTCCGCGAAGTTCACGGAAGTTTTGACATTCTGTGCGCGGTATTGTGATCTTGAGCAGATCTCAGAACAAATTCGATCAGAGTGGCTCTCTACCATACTCCTATAGTATACTGTCTATGTGTCATCAGCGACAGACAGTATACTACAGGAGTATGGTAGAGAGCCACAGATCAATGGTAATACTGTTATCAGCACACTGAATTCAACCAAAATAATAATCGATAATACTGAAAACTAATATTGTATTCGGAATCCCCATGCTCGATTACCCCCCTGTGCCTCCCAGCCCCGTAGCTCAAACTTTGTAAAAAAATCGATAAAATCGATAAAAGTAATCGATAATCCTGAAAACTAATAGTGTATTTGGATCCCCATGCTCGATTACCCCCTGTGTAAACTTCCAGCCCCGTAGGTGAACTCTGCAAAAAATCGATAAAAATCGATAAAGTCGATATCGATCGATGACGAAAAGTAGCCTATGACACCCGCCGGGGCCCGAAGTGTATGTGTGCCAAGTTTGGTCTCGATCGGTTCAGAAATGGATTTTTCTATTCGGAACGTACGTACAGAGAAACAGACAAACAGACGTTCAGCTTCATATATAGGATGATGCGTCTCGCCGAGCTGAATCGAACGGTGTCCGCGGATTCAGAATTCGTCCATTCTGAAGCGAGATATGGCTAAATTGACGATCATTCCGGTGCACTGCGACGGAGTGTGGCGCACTCTGCCGCACTCCGGCGCACTCTGCCACACTCCGGCGCACTGTGGCGGAGTGTGGCGGAGTGCGCCGCAGTCCGGCGACTTTTTTGACGAATTATGAGCGGTATTGTATATGTTTTTGAAAGCTCTAGGTCTGCTCTCGAGACTCGTATGCATCATTCCCCAACATAGCAGGAGGTCAAAAAAGGTTTTTATCATTGAAACAAAAAGTTCAAAGAGCCGAAAAGTCAATTTTCGACATTTTTTTTCCTCCACATTTTTCTCGATTTTTATTGCTAAAACCTATCAAACAAGCTGACAACAACCAAAACATACTAGACTTTTACATCTCCTTTCTTCCACCGCTATTTAATGACATTTTTACAAAAGTCGGCAAGGCAAGACTTTGTCACGGCGATGTTCGCCGTCTCACGTACCCAAGCTGTGTGGCTCCCAAAATTCGGATTTTGAGTATTTGACCTATGAATTCGATAATTTTGAAGCCACAATCCATCCCTTCTGACTTTTCTGGATGGTCCCTACCGCCTTCCCTCAGGATGCCTCCAGATGATGCCCAACATCAACGTTGAAAAGGCGTTAGAAAGAAGACTTTTTCAACTACAAAAATATTTTGAAAAGTTTCAGCACTTCTGAAGCGCAATAGAAGCTGGAGCATCTTTATTTACGTTAGCAAATTCTTCGAGCTTATTCCTAAGCATTCTCTAATTGAAGAGAGCGACGTAACGTAATTGTCGAAAATGGACTTCTTCCCTTTTGATTTTCCAAATTTGACGCTGTAAAACTTTTTCAAGTCATCTGATGTGGAAAACCAAGATGAAAGTTTTAGTAGAGAAGGCTTAGAGCTTTCAAATGCATATAAACAATTTGCAGAACATCGCGCAAAGTATTGGGAAAAAATCGAAAGAAAAAATGGGACAGAACTTATTACACAACCAAATACATAGGTGGGAGTTGGTATAGAAGGGTGCGGATTATGAATGAATCGGCTTTAGCTGAGCATGTTAGCAAGTTTTAGATATGGTTGCTTTGGATATTCGATAATTCATTCTGATATTTATTCGAGAATCGACTCCTAATGTTCGAATATAATCAACATTCCTTCATTCGATACCTTCAATTTTCCCATTTTATTCGGGATTTATTCATTCGGAAAATTTTAAATCAATTTATTCGGTATTCGTTTATCTGAGATTTTTTAGTTTCGGATTTATTTGATGTTCGCGTACTTGAAATTTCTCAGTTTCGAATTTATTCGGTATTCATTCATTCGATGAAAATCTTCGAATTTCCCCAAGTATACTGGGTGGGTATCAATCGATCGCCTTCCTATGATGTGATTTAGGTCAATGGAGTAGACAATGTATTATGCGTCGAGGACTACGTGGACATGAACCGCATACGCTGGGCATTCAATATGATTTACGCAGAAGATAGGAAGCATGCAGATCAAATGTACACGTCGTTGAGTCAAGCCGTAAAAGAAAACCACCTCAAAGTTAAAATTTTCAGGAAAGAGGTACGTTGTTTCATGATAGAGTACACAGAAACAATGAACTTAGAAACTATCGAGATTTTTGCATTACATCTCGCCACTAGAATAGCTACTACTCATCTAATGATTTTTGTTGTATTAAGATAATCATGTACATAAGTACATTTCTCCCTTAGACAAATAGATGTCTGTATACAGATCAGCAGATGGTAGATTGAGAGAAAAACATGGTTGATTGGTAGCGATAAATTTTTGTAATCCAACCTTACCTTTCTTCATAGGTAAATGATCATTCACCAAACTTGCGCATTTTGATACGCCGAGTGCAGTTCTACAAAGTCAAACTCAAAGTTGCGTAGGCTTGTACCGTCGTGTATCTATCTTGCAAACACTTTCAATTGCGCCCTACCTTCAAACTGATCATATTCTATTTCTTTAAAAAGGGTTTTTTTCTCAATTTTGGTCTGTCTCCTCAATTTTGAACTCACACGGGAACCGTGTCGAGTCGAAGTGGCCTTTCCAGATGAGATCCATACTGCTTTGAAGGGTATTAAGCGGTGATTCCAAATCTGCTTTCCAAATCTGCCAAGCGCCTGTGGACGCCGAGTTATGACCTTTCTTTGGAACGAAAAATGAATGCAGAATTTAGGTAAAATTGATTGTTATAATTTTTCCAGCTCTCAGTTAAAGCAATGTCAAGTATTAGCATATTGAATAAAATGTATCCATTGCATAAACAGCTCTGATACTTGACACTGGACCATTTCAGCAAATTTGGGCGATTTAGCTTCAGTTTAGCGTTCAATTTTTTGACCTGGAAAACGAGCATAACTCGGCGTCCAGCGGCGCTTGGCAGATTTGGAAAGCAGATTTGGAATCACCGATTAATGTTCTTTAAAGCAGTATGGGTCTTATCTGGAAAGGCCACTTCGACTCTACACGGTTCCCTTGTCAGTTTCAAAGAAAAGTATCACGCCTTACGGTGGAGCTCTTAGGCTGCAGCGGCACTTGCACCGGCAACTCTGTGTGCGACAGAGCGGATATTTTACAACAACCTTAAGAGGATTTTCCGTGACTTTGACTTTTCATCAAAAGATGTCTATGGAATCTTTCTGCAACACCACTCTTCAATCCATGTTCGAAATTGGCAGAACAATCCTCTCAAAAAGTTGTCGAGCCTCAGCCTTCAAAAGTGGCGAAGAGAGGATTGTCTTAAATATATGAAAAGATATGCAGCACGCGCTGTATGCTGTAATGGTAAGTGCTAATCTACCAAAGAAATCTCGGTCAAGGGACTGTGAGAGGTGATCAACATTTGGCTAATATATTCAAGAACGTGACTACAATACCGTATGAATTCTACATTTGAGAGCACCTTTCAACTCAGCTAGGCGAGGCGAATCTTCCAGTGTATAGATGTGTTTAGTCGTGGGATACAGGTTTTTTCCTTGGAATTTTAGTGTAAATGGATTATTCGGTGTGCTGATTCCAGAGGCTACATTCTGTTGAGCACTGCAGAAATACGAGGTATAGATAAAGAGCTTTATTCTGCACGGATATGTTCAAGATTGGGCTCGTCTCGGCGAAGTATGCCGGGTCTTAAAATGCAGGAAGACAAAGGGGAATGGCTGGAAATCGCATACGAAGCACATATCTTGTCTTATGTCTTTTAAATCCGAAAGCAGCAATGTGTTCGTCAAAGCAAATCTTGTGACGTACATCAAGTCCTCTATATCTCTCTTTCCAGTTTTCACAAGTTCTTCTGCGAATGTCAATTCGCAAGGGTGTAACGCAGCGCTTATCCAACATAAAAGATAACAGTAAGTACCACTCGATAGAGCTGCTCCTGTAGATTATAGTACGCTAGAAAGTAGCCGCATACTTCTTTCCAAAAGTGACAGAAGCGTTGATGAATTCTGAAAAAATCACGCGTTTTCAAATTTTTCTCACCGTAACTTTCTTTGAAGTGCGCTAAGAAATTGCCGAACACTTCTTTCTAAAGGCCATAAAAGGCTGGAATTCTGAATAAATCCTGTCTTTCTAAATTTTTTCACCATAACTCTAAGATATGAAGCTCTCTTGCTAAGCAGATGTGATTTTCGTAATCAGCAGATCGGATAACCCTTATGAGCATGTTTTCCGAGTTGTTCGAGTGATTTCATTTTTTCTTGTTTTACGCTCTGAAGCTGGCCGATGGATTTTGGTTGAAAAGCTGATAATCTTGAATTATAAAGGAACTTCGCTTGAGGTTTTCAGACACGCCCTTTACGAAAATCGTGGTCTCTGTAAAGTATATGGTCTTGCAGAGATATGGCGAGGTGAGTGTAACGGAATCACGAAAGTTCGTAACTTTGCCCGCACTTCTCGCTTACCTGTCAGAATACTTGCCCGCTTGCTTATAGGTTAAATTTTCTGGGAGCTGTGTCATCGAATGGTGCATATCTCAGGCTCCGCTCTACAAAAGTCGCAGATTTACGAGCCTACAAAAACACGTCCTCATGAACTTCGCCCAAAATTTGAATATCGCATACTTCGTCGAAATTCCACCGTGAGTGGTTGCACGACATTCTAATTGCAAATGTTATGTTCACTTCGCCCAAGGAACCCCACTGTATTGAATTTAGTTGGGCATGCTTCAGCTGCTTAATCGACCATCAAAGCAGTTTCGTAGCTAGATTTCAGATCTGAACTATCAAATCCAACACAAGAAGACCCATTAAGCGATCTGGAAACATTTGACCAATATACAACCACTCGTGGTGGAATTTCGACGAAGTAAGCGATATTTAAATCTTGGGCGAAGTTCATAAGGACGTGTTTTTGTAGGCTCGTAAATCTGCGACTTTTGTAGAGCGGAGCGTGAAGATATGCACCATTCGACACAGCTCCCAGTAAATTTAACCTATAAGCAAGCGGGTAAGTTTTTTGACAGGAACGCAAGAAGTGCGGACAAAGTTACGAACTTTCGTGGCGAGGTGACTTCGTTACAGTCACCTCGCCATATCTCTGCAAAAAGACCATATATTTTACAGAGACCACAATTTTCGTAGAGAGCGTGTGCGAAAAGCTCTATGAGCGTAGTTTCTTCACAATTCAAGACAATCAGCATTTTGACCAAAATCCATCGGCCAGCTTTAGTGGTAAAACAAGAAAAAATAAAATTACCCGAACATGGAAAACATGCTCATAAGGGTTATCCGATCTACTGATTACGAAAATCACATCTGCTTAGCAAGAGAGCTTCGTATTTTAGAGTTATGGTGAGAAAAATTTAGAAAGACATGATATAGAATTCACCAGCCTTCTATGTCCTTTAGAAAGAAGTGTTCGGCTATTTCTTAGCGCACTCCAAAGAAAGTTAGGCGAAAAAATTTGGAAACGCGTGATTTCTTCAGAATCCATCAATGCTTCTGTCTCTTTTGGAAAGAAGTATGCGGCTCCTTTCTAGGGTACTATAATCTACAAGAGCAGTTCTATCGAATTACTAGGTACTTACTGTTATCTTTTATGTTGGATCTGCGTTACACCCTTGCGAATTGACATCCGCAGAAGACCTTGTGTAAACTGGAAAGAGAGATATAGAGGACTTGATGTACGTCACAAGATTTGCTTTGTTGAACACAATGCTGCTTTCGGATTTGAAAGACATTCCGAAGGATGTTATGGCGCTGCGTAGTTTGCGATATTCCGGGAATTTCGCGATATTTCGCGAAATCCCCGTTCTGTGGGCGGTGTTTTACGTTGCACAGCACGCGCGGCATTCCACGATATGTGCTTCGTATGCGATTTTCAGCCATTCGCCTTTGTCTTCCTGCACTTTAGGACCCGTCATACATCGCCGAGAAAAGCTTAATTTTACACATATCCGTGCAGAATAAGCTCTTTATCTATACCTACCGTATTTCTGCAGTGCTCAACAGAATGTAGCCTCTGGAATCAGCACACCGAATAGTCCATTTACACTAAAATTTTAAGAAAAAATCCTGTATCCCACGACTAAGCACATCTATACACTGGAAGATGCGCCTCGCAAAGCTGAGTTGAAAGGTGCTCTCAAATATGAATTCATAAACTTTGAATCAAGATAAGGTCTCGACTTCTGAAAAAGTTAGGCGGCGGCCGTTGAAGTTAGGCTGCTGTTAGGTGCTCGCCGCCTAACAGCGACGGCCGCCGCCTAACTTCGGTGGCCGCCGCCTGAGTTAAGCGGCCGCCGCCAATTTTTTCACAAATTACGAGCGGTATTGTAATGTGCTGAGGCCGTGGGTTTCATCCACCCTTAGTTTACAGCAGAGTAAGTCACTCGACAGTCTAGTTTCTCGGCGGCATCTGCTGATGTTCAATAGTCCCTCATATTATGTTCTTTATCCTCATATGATCTATGCAATTCCCTTATATCATCGCTCATGAAATCTCAACCATTTGATCATCACGTGTTCTATAAGGGCCGTATGCAACAACAGCCGGGGAGGGGACCGCAGTTTGAAGGTAAACCGCAAATTCTGAAGCTCCGAAATCTACTCACGATGTCTACCTACCCATAAGTATTCCTACTATCCTTCACTATGAAGATATTGAACAGGAGCGATAAGATGTACAAGCTGCAATTTTCAGCTCTTTGTATGATTCCCTCGTGATTCCAGGCGCCCAAACATCCTTTCTTCAAAGTCGTTCTTTTTTCTTCAAAGTTAAGAAAACATTTCAACGTTGTACCGATTGCAACCCGACAGCTGATAAGAGCAAATGATTTATTGTTGTCAGAGAATTGCAGTGAACCGCAAGTTTATAAAGTTTATAAAAAGAGCTATAAAAGAGTTTATAAAAACTGGAGTTTATAAAAACTTTCCATCTTAATTTGTTCTTAGCAGCAACATGCTTCTCAGACAATCGGTGCCGTAGTCGCGGCGGACAGTCGAAATCTGGCAGGGCCGCGGCGGACCCAATTGACCAATGAGAGCGGGGCGAGGGGGCGGTCCCTTCTTGTAGGTCACGGTGAAGTCACAAGCAGGCGAATGGGACTTCTCCGGATCTGCTCCGGAGGTACGCCATCTCTGCTCCGGAGGTACTCCAGATTTGGGAGAGCCCCGGAGCAGAGATTTGCCCGCCGCGAGTGCGCCAGATTTGGGACACCTCCGGAGCACAAAATGGCAGGGCTCCGGAGCACAAATGGGAGGTCTCCGGAGCACAAATTGGGAGGGCTCCGGAGCACAAATGAGAGGTCTCCGGAGCACAAAATGGGAGTTCTCCGGAGCACAAATTGGGAGGGCTCCGGAGCACAAAATGGGAGGTCTCCGGAGCACAAAATGGGAGGTCTCCGGAGCACAAAATGGGAGGTCTCCGGAGCACAAAATGGGAGGGCTCCGGAGCACAAAATGGAAGGTCTCCGGAGCACAAAATGGGAGGGCTCCGGAGCACAAAATGGGAGGTCTCCGGAGCACAAAACGGGAGGATTCCGGAGCATAAATGGGAGGTCTCCGGAACACAAATGGGAGGGCTTCGGAGCACGAGTGGCAATCCCCAGCTGGGGAAACCTCGCGGCTCGGCCATTTCTGCTCCGGAGGTATGCCGTCGACTGTCTGAGTTAGCACTGTTAAGTTGTAACCATTACAACTTAGGAGTGTCTTCGTTAGCTTCGAAAAACATGACTTTGAAAAAAGTTGGTTGGCCGCTGGGGAGCAACGGAGATCACACAAAGAGCTGGAAAATGGACATTACGGCTTCTCGCTCGTGTACAATATGTTTATAGTGAAGTATAGCAGAAATACTTACGGATTACAGACAGCTTGAAACTCAGACATCTGCTCTAGTATATGAAGCATTTCTTCAAGCTGCGTGTGTCATATCAATGCCTGTACACTTTATTCGTTCTATTTTGTTTCTTAGCGGATAAAGCAGCGGTAATGAGGTTGGTTGTATCTAATCCAAAAGTATAAATTGCTCGAGTGTCCTGGCAATCATTACTGCTGTATTTGGGATCTAAGAAACGCTATTTTATGAAGGTTGCGCATTTAATTTTTTTTTTTGCTCTGTTAAACAATCATAACTCCTCCCAGGAACGCTTCGCAGATAAGAAAGGCAGATTTGAAATCAGCGTTTTATGCTCTCCAAAATGGAATGCATCTCATCTCATCTCAATAAGTTACTTCGACTAAACATCCTTCCCTTGTAAGTCTCGCGTGGCAGTTGAAAGGTAAAAGTTGACAATCGGCGGTCAACGAGATTAGGCCGTACAAGATTCGGCCACATCATCGCTCCACAGGAAACAAAGACCAGGAGAAAGGACAGCGGCGGATAGATGACTTTAACTTTTATCATTCGTGGCGAAAATGTTTGGTCGCGAAGCGGAAGGGCTTCGTTGTCCACCCATCTATGATTGATCCGTACGGGATCCTATCACCTCGATTTAGCCTGCTTACGAATACGACTTCCACGTCGGAAGACCATCAGCACCATCATTTGCTACTCTCCAACATCAGCAACTGATGAGTCAGAATTAGATGCTTTCTAGGAAGATTTGGAGGATGCGTGCGCAACGAGTTTACAAGTTTTGTGGCAACTTCAACGCAAAAATTTGAATGTCACTAAAAAGGAATAAAAGATTGGGAAGTTTGGATATGGGCTCCGGAACGATGACTTTTTTATGGAAGATCTATCTTCATGGAGAAAGATGGACAGTGGACAGTTCCCGGTGGACATGGGAATCGCTCAAAGGACGAGCGACGGATACATAATGAAACTCTTCATTCGTGGCGAAAAAGTTTAATCGCGAAGCGTTGAAGGTGTTGGCTTTGTCTCCCACCTTTTTATGGTCTACCTTGTCGAATCGCATAAGATCACATCAGCAGCGCTGACAAATCAGAAATAAACCTTTTCACAAAGAAGTGGAGGAGGTCTCGCAATGAGAAAATCCTTGAAAATTTGTTGAAGGCGATTTTCAGGCGCAAATCAGGATGTCAAAAAAGGAATTTAGGATCGAGACATTTGTATATCTGCTCCGGAACGAAAATGGCACCCATTTGTGGCCTCTTTCCGCCACACGACTTTTTCATGAAAATTCAAATTCACAAAGCTTGTGGGTTCCTTTCCGCCACTCCTCTTTTTGAGGAAATTCAAATTCATGAAGAAAGAACATGCGATGAACATGGGAATCGCCCACGGAACGACTCACGCGGAGATCGACCACATTCTCATGAACCAAAGGTGGAACTTGGTTGATTTCTTAGTGGTTCCATGCTTTTCCAGTGGCTCCGATCGCCGTTTCCTTGAGCGAAGTCAAAAGTCAAAAGCTGGAAGAAAAGGTCTGTCACAATACCGCAGGAGCGATGTTGTTTATGACAAATAGGCTGGAAGAGCTCATATCAAATTCTTCCTAATTTTACATGTATCAAACTTTCTAAGATTGCCTGAATACTACTTCGTAGCGCTTGCTTTTCTAATTCAAATGATATGTTTCAAAGATGTTTGCACCTTTTCTGCCGCTCATTCATAAGTAACAGGCATTAATCATGCATCAACCTAATACTATAAGCACATTCCTATTCAAATGGTGAACGCTCATTGAAAGACGTCATGGGTCCAGAAATGTCCGTCGGTCATCTCAGAATTTGCTGCATCATTGCTTGTTCGCGTATTTTTCGTTGAATAAATGAGCACTGCTTGCTGAAAGTTTAGCCACGCCCTAAAATCTTACTGAATACTCGCCATAAAGCCGAATTCGCGGTCCGCCTGCCCTCGACGATTATGATTAAAGTTTTACTCCTCTGTCCCAGGTTTCGCACCTTCAATCTGCATCGTCCTTGTGATTTGCAAGGAGTTAAGAATAGTAATATTGTTGCTTTCCTCCCTCTACAAAAGTTTTCTAACTTGAATATGTTGGTTTAACTTGTGGATTATAGAAGATTAGTCAGTTTTTTTTTGAATCTTTGAGTACTTATACCTCAATCTAGCCATACGCATGCCCTATGATGCCACCTGTACGAAGGGGGGCGCTCGTTACGTGCGGGCTGCCTATTGGAAAACGTCGCAATGCGGCATCGCGCGGGGAGAAGTAGTGCAGCAAACTTGTCAAATCTATACACCTAGATCATCAATGCTTCTTCTATACTGTTAGCCTTTTACATTCAACAGTTTGTGTCTTTTTTGTCCTCCAAAGTGCTAATTTTACAGGTTTTGTGGGGTAACTTCAAATAAGTAAGCAAAACTAATATGGGATTAGTCTGTGAACCTCAACAAAGGATGAGAGATTGAGAAAGTGTGTGCTGAGAATTATGCTAGCCGAATTTCCTGAGTGCGGTCACTGGCAGCCTGTCGCGCGCGACGTTTTCCAATGGGCAGTCCGCACGTAACGATACGCACCCCTGTACGAAAAGCAGGGGTCAGCCACTCGGACAACTTTATATGTAATCTAGTTGTGCATTATTGCACTCGCACTACAAAAGCTCAAAAATATAATATTTACGTCGCAAAGTAGCTGATACTTAAACAGGAAACACTTCACAGAATTTTGATTGACTTTCGTTCTGAAAGGAAGGCAACGAAATGTAGTAGACATGAAAGCACCTGAGGGAATAGCTAGCCGTGCCCTGTTTTTCTTGAATTTTGAGCTCAAAAAACTGATTCTCTGTATTGTTCTCTGCGTATTACGGTACCCTCCTGACCACCCATAATGTGTCTTATTACAAGTATATGCAGCAAACTAACAAACACAGTGAAGCTTGAGATTTTCCAAGTATATAAAAAGTCTATGCCTGTGTAGTGTTTTGAATTCGTAATTACTACCAAACTTTGCGTTGCATCAACATTTTCCATTTCCAATTTTCTTCCAAATTCTTTCAGAATTTCGATGATCGCTGGCATTTTACTGGAATAAGTTCGAGGATTGGAGACATTATACTCGAACCAGAAGCCGGTTACGATGTCCAGTTCAACTGCGGCTATGTAAAAGAAGCAAAGTGAGCGTTTTTTGTCGATCTGTATCTCTTCATTAACAATTATTCAGGAAGCAAAGTAGAGATTTGCATTCATCAACTCATGGAATAAACCCAGATGATCCCGGTATGCGCGCAGTGCTTGTCTTGCGTGGGCCAAGCTTTGCAAAAACTCAAAAAGTAAGCTTGTGCATTAAAACAAGTTTACACATTTTTTTCATTCTGGCGAAGGCATACGAGAAAGGGTGAGAAAGAGGAATTAAGGAGACTGCAGCTATTAAGATCATACTTATGCCTCTTTAACCAAGAAGAGTGGCGAGTTATGGTTTGATCCATAATGGTTTGAACACATGTAGAACCCCATTTTAATTCGACTTGTTCCAACCTTCTAATTTCTTCGTTTTCAAAAGATTGTTGAGTCATGATTGAATGGTCACAAATCCGGTTCGAATATGTAGAAACCCATTTTGATTGCAGTTGTTTTAAATTCTGGATGTTTTTTTTCCCACTTTCAAAACATGCCTCGATAAGTTGTTGTCAAATCCAATAGTATCGGATGAGCAGTGAGCGTACTCAATCGGAGCAGCTGATTTATACTCAAAGTCTAACCAGTTTGCAACGAGTTTATTAGACGGCTTTAGGATGGATGACACTATCATTGCACCATCTCTACTTTACATAGGTTTATACACTGGCTCTACTAACTACACTATAATGATTGCATCTGTTTTGCACTATCCGGTGTCGGGGCTAAGAACTATAAACGGTAGTGCAGCTTCCTGGTGCCCCTCATCAGTAGTTCCCAAAGAAGCTTCAATATATTTTTGGAGCTGTTGTTCTTGTTGTCAGCTGTACGGGGCAGCACCCTTGTTTTGAGTGCAAACACGCCAGAAGGATGCACATGCCATGAAGCGCTCAACTGGGGAAGTAGTAGGGAAAGCGCGACCGCTTTTGGAGCACACGCGATGCACCAAGGTCTGCTCGCGTTTATAGCAAACAGGGTGCGGCTCGTACACCTGAAAAAGAAGTACCCTAAAATCCCTACAATAAGTCCGCCTCTCAGATAAGTCATCCATCACATAAGTCCGTTTTTTTCTATGGAAATGCACCCTCGCGCCGCCAAAAGTCCCGCAGATAAGTCCGGACTTATTGGCGGGATTTTAGGGGTACATGATTTTCCCACGCTTCCAATGGAGAATTCCTGCGTCCGTTTTCGGTACCAGTGAACGATTCATCGTCATGTAAAATAGGTGGCTTCCAATGCTAAAACCTTCCAGCACAAGAATGTTTGCAGACTCAAATCAATGATTGCATTGTCTTAATCTGGTGGTAGCTCCGATGGGAACAAGCTTATGCGTATTATCCATATTAAGCAAGAGGATTGAGGGATTTACGTCTCGTATCCTCTCTTGTGCGTGCTGAACAATGCCGATACTATATAGCAAAATTGTGGCTCAATACCTTTATCGTTACTCGCATCACAACTCCATGACAATTTTTTTAGATAACTACAAAAAAGCGCAGAAGACCTTAGCGCATTTATACAAAACAAGCAGCAGTCAGCAGCCATTTCAAACGCCGGGGCATTGTCTTTAGGCATTTGTACGCAAAGCACTCGCTAACCCGAGCAAATCTTCTGCACTTTCTAAAAGTTGAGAAATTACGTTAATCTAGACTAGAAATGACTTAAACCCAACATTGTAAAAACCTACAATAAAAAATGATGCCGAGCTGTCGTAAACTTGTTTATGCATCCTTAGTCCCACTCAGGCTGCGGTGTTATTTGGCTAGGTACAGGACGAGATTGCGTTACTAGCAAAAGCTAGACTATTTCTCCAAACCCGTCCCCTGCTGCTGCACCCTTTTCTCTGCACTCTTTGCTGTCCTACCTAGCCGCAACTTTCCATTCACGACAATACGACCGGGTGGGTCGTACGTGCTCTGCCATTTCGGACAATACGACCCACCGGTGGGTCGTAAGATTCCTGAAGCTCTAGCTTTGCCAGTTTACGATAGAATTTTACGAGGTTCTGGCACATGATCGGGGACACCTAGGCGAAGCACCAGCCAGAGTGGTCCGAACTCGGGATACTGCAATGGATTGTTTCGGTAGGTATACCGTAAATAGAGATAGTGCATAGACTTTAACTCAAATTCTACACGAAATGATGCTGTTTCAGAACATTAAAGTGTAAATGCACAAGAAATAAGGAGCGGGCAAGAGATTGATGCTAGCCCTCCAAAAATATCTCATTGTTCATCCCGGGAAGCTGAAATCTCACACATATAGGTCTTGTAGCATGCTAATTACGAAAATGTTAGTCTCGGGTTCTGATACCGCCATTCTAGATCACTTTTTTGATTTTTAGAAAATTTCACCGTCCTGCTACCGTAGAGCTACTGTGGATAGTACTGAACAAAGTGGATACTATAATCGTGACGGCACGTGAAGTAATCCCAAAACAGTTTTTCATGAAAATCCATGATGTGCCGTAACCTTACCGTATAACGCGAAAAATTGAAATAAATCATATTTTGATAATCAGCGCTTTTGATAACCTCCCCCCCCCCCCCGGGGAAGATTCTTGGAGACCTGTTTTGAATTTTTCCCAAAAAGACTACCATTTCGGACAATACGACCCACGGGGGGGGGGGGTCGTAAGTATGACAAAGCGAAATAGGCTGTGGTCCGAAACGGCAACATTCGAAAAATCGACCTTGTCGTGAATGTGTTGAGGCATTCCTATAGTGTGCTGCGAGTGTTCTATTAAAAGTAGTGGCTCGGAAAAATTGCGACTGCGAGCTTTCCACCTACAAGGCCTTCTGAATGCGCTGAGTAGAATGCTATGCTTGAAGTCAAAAAAGCTTTTTTATGGCGTTTTTCTATCCTGGCGATAGCTGAAGGAAAAGGATCGCCAACTGAGTAATGGCTGCCTGAGCCGAACAGCCAATAACCGCCAAAATGGGTGGAGTTACAGTCTCCTGCAACCAGTCTTCATGGTGAGAACCCATCGCCCATCCCCTCCAGTTATCTCCGGGGTAGGAAAACGCCGTAAAAACACTTGCACCTTGAGTAAAAACGAGTGACTCAAAGTTTGCGCGAAATTTTGCAAAGCGTTGCCGCTCCGCGACAATCACCATTCTAATAGCCCGCTCTCGTCGGATCAGCTACCTGCTGCCCCCCCCCCCCCCTTTGCTCTGCCGCCGTGCCACTTTAGCACGGGAGACTTTTTGTGGGGCGCAGAATTTGAGCACAGCATGCACGGCTATCCAGCTTTCATATGCACATTTTGAGCTTTACCGCGTAATCTTTGCTCAAAGTGAAAACGAGCTCTACTACCACTGTTTACACGAACATGTGCAAGTTATCGAGAGAGTTTGAGAGAAACTTTTCCAGTGCAAGTTGCCAAAAATAAATCTTTAGAAAGACCCAGCGATCATCCAGGAATTGTTTGAGACCATCTCCGAGGTTGAAATTATATTGGCAAGGTTCAAACTCATTCTCATGCACAAAGGAGTCTAACCACATACATTTTGGATGCGCACAAAGATTGGGTTATATTTATTTATAGATTAATTGATGCATTTGTGATTTTATCAGTCGGTACTATAACTCCGTTGTAATCCTAGTTAGAAAAAGAGCATTAGCTTTGAGATGGCTAATGCTCATACCGCTACCCATGTTAGGGTACTTCACATCAGACCGGTCAAAAATAAAACCATCGGGTTTCAGCTTCTTGAAACTATTTTTGGAATTACAAGAAAGCTCTTCCATTGAGAATGTGCACGTACTAGAAGAGCCTTGCTCTAGCCTTGATGAAATAGGGAGTACTATTCGGGTGAAAATCAAATTGAAATATGCAACTTGAGAAACGCTCAATGCATATGCTTTAGGGTTGTTTCAGATTGCCGCACCGACCGCAGCAGACTGCAGCAGACTGCAGCTGACCGCATTGACCGCGGGGCCGCACAGATCGCTACATCCTTTTGTGAAAGTGGGGAGTATAAATAGTTGTAGCTCAAACAGTTTCTTAACAATATATGCCCAATAGATAACACGAGCGGGAGTAAAATAGGTATATGCAATGACAAAAGGAATGACAAAAGAAACAAATATGAGCATATTAAAGAAAAACAATCGCCAAAATTTGATTAAGAAGAGCTTAGAACCTATGAACTTTCTAGGCGTCAATCACGCTGTTTTGATGTATTCGCACTATTTTCTCTTTTACGAAACGACGCAGCGATTGTGCGGCCGTTGCGGTCAGTGCGGCAGTATGAAACAACCCTTAAAAGTACTAAAAAAAATATAGACAAATTCGAACTGATGTGATGTTTTCGTGGTGCACTGCAGACAAAAATCACCAAGCGCTTATCGGCTAGTGCAGCTGACTACCGGCGATTACCCGCTGTATAGCACGTTTGACTCCTGTCGCATGGCCGGTAGTAATCCCCCCGCTTTGGCACCAGATTCACCGGTTTCTCTATCAGATTGTCGTCATCTTGGTGTGAGAGCGACAATTACTAAGATTCTGCATTTAGGCCATCAAGACCCGTTTTACAAGAGAATGCCTTCTGAGGATGTTACAATGAAGAAACCTACATCGCACGAGATTTTGAAAATCATCTATAAACATTGCCAATGAAGACAATGTCCCGCGGCCAACGCGAAGGGCTTTACCGCATTTTGTCGAAACTTGCGTGGTATAGCTGCCGGCAGGTCAGAGGGCACAAAAAGTACCGAGCTTTTTTTGAGAGAAAAGCATTAACAGTGCCCCTAGCAACTCAAACAATGGCGGGGGTAGGCGGACACCGGAAAAATAAACGCTGATTACTCGCGCTCCGCTCGCTTAGTTTTAGAAAAGCGGTAGCAAATTTTTGCAACGCCTTTGTTGATTTCTTGCTTCGTCAAAAAATCAGCGATATATCCGCAAAAATCGCAGCGAAAAAATTCAACGGACGCTCTACAATAAACTCGCTCAAAATGTTTCGAATTATGCGAACGGAGTGCGAAAGATCAGCAACGAAGAATTTCCAGTGCCCGCCTTCTCCCGACGATTATCCGAGAAGTCGAGATACTGGCACCTTGCTAACGGCGTTAAATTTGAGTGAAGCGTATTACACAACTTATATCTCAGCAATTGATCACCCACTCCAAAACTTCTTCTCTGTTGAAGTGG